TTCTAAGCAGAGTTATGCTTTCTCCACTCTTGCCCTTCTCAGTGACTGGACACCCTCGAGGATAGTAGAAACAAGTGTTGACAGAGTTCTAGCCCCAAATCCCTGTAAGGAGAGCCACACACCAACCTTGGATGGTAGGCAACAAGAGAAACTTCTGGTGATCTGAGTTATTGCATGTTTGGATTGATTTACTATAGCCACTTATTTTTTGCTCCAACTAATAAAACCACCATGATTTATGTATTTGTATGAAAAGGATGCTCACTTGGACATTTATATGGAAAAGATGCTTACTTGGAGAGAGAGAGTATAGTAGGCAGGGCACTTGCCTTGCATGTGCCAACCTAAATTTGATCCCTAGCACCCCATGTGTTTTCCCAAGCCCTGCCAGGAATGATCCTAGAACACATGAGCACAGAACCAGGGGTAAGACCTGAGCACTGCCAGGTGTGGTAACAAAATAAATGATGCTTGCTTATACCAGGCATTCTCAGTACTTTGTCCCTGTGGCATCTTCACACAATACATCCTATTATCATTCCTTTTCAGACAAGGAAATTCAACTTCAAAGAGGTTAAGTAACTCATCTATTTGCTGTCTTTCTCGAAAGCTTATATGCAGATAGAAACAGATCTATGTAGACATCTAATGGATGTGAATATATGGATATATCTATTCCCAGTAACTTGATTCTCGGCGTGCCTCCACTCCACCCTCTGTGCCTACCTCAGCTGAATTTCTTTGCTCTCTCTCTTCTGGTTGGTTTTGTTCATTTGTTTTGGCCACACTAGGTGGTGCTCAGGGATTACTCTTGGTTCTGCACTCAGGTGTTACTCCTAGAAGGCTCAGGGGACCACATTGGGTGCGAGGGTTAGAATCCACGTGTAAGGCAAGTTCCTTACCACATACTATCACTCCATCCCCTCTGTCTTCCAGTTGGATTTGGCCAATGAGAGACACAAATAGGGGAATGGTACCTGGGAATCAGAGGATTCCAAGTATTTATTCTGAGACATAGACCATCACTTGCCTGTGGTCACCCAGCTGGTAAGTGATAGAGCTGGGCTGTACACCCAGCCAACTTTGCTGCTGAATCCATGCACTTAATCCACCGCACCAAAGAGCTTCTTCAGCAGGAAGGAGGAGAGTGAAGACAGGCAAAAATATAAGTTTCCTGAAATCATGGCTCGCGGTGAGCTTGATGGAGGAACTTTCATTCTCTCTGTATCATGATTTTTAACCACTGTGTATCAATAAGCCAAAAGGAAAAAAAAATATTGTGGAATTCTACTTTGGAAATTTTTTTAAAAATCCAGAGAAATAGTAAAGTGGGTAAGGCACTTGCCTTGCACTGGACTGATCTAGGTTTGATTTCCAGCACCCCATGTGGTCACCCAAGCCTGCCGGCAATGATTGCAGAGTTCAGAGCCAGAAATAAGCCCTGAGCACAGCCACGTGTGGCCCCAAAACAGTAAATAAATGCATAACTAAATCCTCTGTGGCCACTAGGGGCAAGGGAAGGAACTCAGCGCTGGGGATCTCACTTTCTGAATCCAGAAACTCAGGAGACTGAAATATTAGGACCCAGGAGGATTCCAGCCATCACTGGGCTGTCTAGGTCCGACTGAGGAAAGAAACCCAGGGCAGTGACTCTATCCATCAACTGACAGGGCAATAGTGAGTGGGGATCACCAACCCTTCCGGAAGGAAGATGCAAGTGGCTGCTGCTTACGCAAGTGGGTCCTGCCATCACTCAAATCCTGCTAGCAAAGGGCCCTCCACAACCACATATTTCTTCCAGGCAGTCTCTGCTCTGCCTTATTCACTCTGCAAGTCCCTCTCCTCCAAGAATGTGTGACAGGTGGTGTGAAGGCTCCAAGGTCAAGTCAAGCAGGCCATACAGACCTCCAGAACTTTACGTTCTTATGTGGCTCAGGCTTTCCAGAACAGTAGAAACCCCAACTCATCCTCGGATACTCTCCTTTCCCAGGAACACAGGTCGGTCAGTGGGGAAGAGTGTGGGCTCTGAAGTGAGGCCTAGGTTGGAATCCGAAGCCTGTCACTAATGAGCTGTGTTACAATGCACAAGTTGTTTAACCTCTCTGAGCCTCTGTCATGAAATAATGTAGTGATGCCAGGACTGCAATTCAATCCCTCTGCACCCATCAGTTGAATAGGCTCTTAAGAGCATCAAAATACTTTCAAATTGCTGAATTGATACTAGTACCCCATTTGGCTTCCACCTCCTGAGTTTTTCCTCTTGCTTCCCTTTCTCCAGTAACTAAAGTGTCATGTCTTAGGAGGAGAGCTACTAAGCCCTTGATCCTGCACCAAGGTTAGTCTTCATTCTGATTGGTGATGTTCTGATTGATAATGCTTATGCCTGAACAGGTTGTTAGATATTTTTAATCTCCCCTTGGCAATGGTCATTGTTGGGATTGAGTGAGAGGATGCAGATAAGGGACTTGGCAGAGAGTCTGGTACATCATGAAGCCACTCGTTCAGGGTCAGCTGTTACTGCTTTAAACATCAAACTGAAAAGAGCAGAGGCAGGATCAAGAGCAAGGTCTCCTGTACCAGCAGCAGGTGAAGATGGGTTCTGACAGGGAGCTCAGGAAGAGTCCGAGAGCCCCAAGATGGTCCATAGTGTTGCCTGGCTTAAAGAACCAGAGCCAGCTCAAAGGGTTGAGCACAGGTTTTATATGCATGGGAGCCCAGGGTTTGGTCCCACCACTTCATGTTCCTTAAAGGACCAGAGGGGAATTATCCTGAGCACTGCTGGGGTGACCTCACCCAAATAAATAAAGTCAGTGCAGGACCAATATATCTGCTTTACTACGCACTGCTTTTCTTCCCCTGTGGACCTACCTCCCCCAGCAAGACAACGGACATTGCTTTGTCCCTTTAAGACGAAGAAGCTGCTCCCACTTACTTGGGCTTGCCTTTCTGATGCCAGAGGGAATGAAAAAAATATCCTAATCCAAGGACCCTCTTCTTAAGCACCTGGAGAAACTTAAGGAGAGGCAGCATTGTGTCCTGGTTAGGTATGTGAGCTCTTGGAGCCAGATAGCTTGGGTTCAAATCCCAGCTCTTCAGCTTGACTTAGCTCCAGGAACGTGGGTAGGTCACTTGACTGCTCTGTGCTTCAATGTCTCATGTATATGGAGAGAACAATAATGGTACCTGCCTCCGAGTTCTTGAGAGGACTAAATTAGGCGAGGCATATAAAGTGTTAGGGCAGTGCCTGGCAGTATTAACTACTGCTGGGAAGCTCACAGGACTGTGAATGTGTGTGAGTCAGATCCATGCCAGCATAATTCATCCCTCCCAGTTGAAATTCTTCCCCTGCTTTCCTGGACCTCCTACCTGTTTGATTCCATCTACCCCACCATCACATCCTTCCCAAGCCTCGTATCTGCAAGGCCAGTGCTCTTCTACTAGAACCACCATCCCCAGCTGTCTCAGTTCCAGCATTTTTACAGACTGGGAGGTTCAGAGAGAGAAGGGCTTCCTGCCCACCCCCACGGCCCTGGTCATTTGTGATGTCCTTGTAGAATATCACTCAGGAGTTCCAGCCTCTCTTGGTGGGAGTTTAGATCATAGTTCAAAGGGAGGAGTTCCTGCCTCTCTCTGGAAAGCAGAGAAGGTGCCAGGGAAGTGACAGTGTCAGGGCTCTTAAATACCTGACTCTGGGGAGTCACCAAAGGGGTCACATGTGCTTGCTAAGGGGCGCCAGATATTGCTCTCCAGTTGGGGTGCCAAAGAAAAGAGAGCCTGCAGCTGGGAGAATGGGGCAGCAAAACAAGCTCAAGAAGGAAGCCACGTTTCCTAAAAAAAAAAAAAAGAAGAGGCAGATGTTCACGGATCATTCCCCAGTGAGCCTGCCAGGAAGTTTCTGGGACAGCGGAAGACGCCAGTCCACACCCTGCCCACCTCAGCGATTTTCCCTGGGTAGAAGCTCGCTTCTCCCCTCTCCCCATCCCGCAACCCCCCCGCCCCGGGTAAGTCGCCCCAGCCCCGCTCCCATTCGACCAAGCCCCAGATGCCCCGCCCCACTTTTGACAGATGCCTCCAGTTCCGTCCCCCGCACGTGGCCCGGCCCGAGGTGGTCAGCTCCCCTCCCGGCCCCTGTTCGGAGTGAAAGGGTTCCTTCCCACCGTCCCGGTGCTTCGGGAGAGACCCCGATGCGGGGAGGACGTGTTCCTGGCCCTGAAACCTCCCAGACCTGCTCCGTGTAAACCGCCTTGGTTTTGTGTCAGCTTCCGAGGCCGGAGACAGGCGGCCGCTGGGGGTCCGCTCGGTCTAAGGAGCACTGGAGGGTGGGGATAAGAGGGGTCCACGGAGCAGCCCACATGCTCCTTCTGGAGGGATTCCCGAGAGGCCTCTTGGGGTCCTCACTAAGTAGGAAAGGCCGGTCTGGGGAGCAATCCGAATCCGGGAACCCGGGTCGCGGTGCGGCTGGGCCCTGTGGTCGCGGTGCCCACCTACCCGATGGGAGTGAGCGTGTAGGATGCGAAGACGTAGGGTGCTGACCACCCCGTCTTTTCCTTCCCCCCACTCGGCATCTTCCCGCCTTCCTGCAATTTCGGGTGGGATATGGGGGGGGGGGGGTCACATCTTGTGACTCATCTCCTCTCCCATCCCCACCCCCGCTGGGGCCCGGGAAAGGAAGGCTTAGAGCCTCGGCTGTGGCTCTCCCGTTCCCATAGCAACCGTGCGGTTGTTTTGCGAATCCTCTTCAGGCAACGACACTTTTCACCCCAGACTTGGGCCCGGGGTCCGAGCCTCGGCGTGGGGGACGGCTCGGGATACTGCCCACCTCCTTCCCCGAGAGCCGAGGAAGGTCAGCCCGGACGGGCGGGCGGGGCGCGCGCCTGCAGCCGGGCCTCACTGGCCACCGGGTCCCCACCTGAAACCCCGCCTGCCACTCCGCTCCGGCGGAGCCAATCAGCGCCCCCTGGGCCCGGGAGGAGGCGGGGCTTATGCAAATCGTGTCGCCTCCGAGAGACATAGTGATACAAGAGCGGGGAGGCGGCTCCGGCGCGGACCTGGGAGCGCCCGGGCACCAGCCGCGAGCCAGCCCCGGTCCCCGCGGCCCGAGGCATCCGGCGAGCCGGCGAGCGGCCCCAGGTAACGCGGGCGGGACCGGCCGAGGCCCCGTCCCCTCCCCCTCCACTGTCCATTCCCCATCCTCGGCCCCTGATTCGTCTCCCTGACCCCGATTCCGCCCTACGTGGCAGCAGCTGGAGGAAGAGACCCTGGGCAGGGAACCCCGACCCGGTCCCGGCCTCACCTTCCCAGGGAGAAGGGGCCGACACTTAACTTCCAGCTCAGGTAAGATCAACCGCTGCTCTAACCTCCAACACCCACCCCCACCCCACCCTTCACCCTACCCCCACCACCCCCACGCGGGGATTTGGTGGTGCTGGTTCTAGAGGCTCCATCCCCCTCTCCCTTGGACCCAAGCCCCTGGTCTCTCCCACCTCCCCAGGGAAACCCCACCCAGGTACCGTGCCCCATTCAGCCGGGGCACTTCACAAGGCGTCCCAAGTCTGTCCCCTCCGTGGGAATCCACTCCCAGCCCTCACTGGCCTGATTGGCACCCCAGACTCCCACTCTTCGAACTGGAAGCCTCTTAGCAGACCTGGGGGAGGGAGAAAGCCCCCACCCTACAAGGGGCCTTTGCAGCTCTCTCAGCTGCCTTGACCTCGTGTGCGACCCCAAATTTGACCTCTTCCACCCAGGCTGGAGGATAAACCCAGGTCATTCTGCCCAGCCAGCCACCATAACTTGCCAGTCTTTGCAGCCAAAGTTGAAGCCTCTTGCCTCTCAGGTGTCCCTCCTGGTTCCACTGGTCTTCTGTGCTCCATCACTCCCTTGCACCCTTCTCTCTGCTGCTCCACAGGGCCCCAGTGCCCTCCTTTCCCTGCTGTGGGCAGGCCAGGGGTGACAGGAAGGATGGTCTTGGCCGGTCCCCTTGCCTCGTTCTGGTTCTCTGAGAGAAGCAACAGTGTGTCTCAGAGAGGAGGCCGAGGAGGCTTCTGCCCTCTCCAGGGGTCAGTGCATCTCCCCCAGGCAGAGGGATGGGCACTGTCCCTGCACATCCTTTGGGCTGGACCCTGTGACTATTTGGACTTCCTCCGAGACCAGTTCTGATGTGGATATGGTCAGCAAGGCCACTCACTGTCTCTTGTTAAGAAAGAGGGCAGAAGACCGGACTGCTTCTTGGAGAAGAGCAAAGGGAGGAAAGGAAAGAGAAAAATCTCCTGACCATGGAGCTATTGTCGCCATGGCAACTGTCTCAGCACCAGCTCCTCTGAAGCTGAGTGAGGGTGTGGGATTATTGCTTCCCTTGGTCCCTCCCACTCTCCCTGTCACCTCCCCACTGGAAGCCCACCGTCCTAAGCCTGGCTGGCCTCTGAGCGCCAAGGGGCAGTGTGAGCTGTTTCCAGCCAGAGGGAAGCCTGCCTGCGGACAGCTGAGGAGCCTTCCTGGGTGCCACTGACTACAGGGCCACCAGAACATGCCTGCAGAGGGTTTCTATCCTTGCTTCTCTGCTGTGGGGCTTGTCAGCCTTGGGTACACCCTCCCTTTCTCTGGCTCTGGGAGTTATTGTCCCTGAGGTGGGTGCAAGGGAAGGGGAGAAACGATGACTGAACTTCATGATAGGATGTCAGGGAGGGGCGGAAGGGAGTTGTGCCCCTCTCCTGTAACCCACCCGGAGATATTCGTTGACCATGACATCCAGACAGGACTCTGGATTCTTCTCTGCACTGGAGAATTTCTGTAGCTCAGGCCAGGGCTTCATGCAAAGAGCTCATCCCTCATCAGGCTGCATTCTAGAATTCTAGATGTGGGTCAGACAGTCCTGCATACCTGTGGGGACTCAACTTCCCAGGCTCGCCAGCTCTGTCAGGCCCCCAGTGCTCAGTTCCTGCTGCTGACAGTCTGCTTGTCCCGGTTGGGAGAGGCTGATCTTCTGAGAGTGGACTTCCACTGAGCCCCATGATTGCTCATAGTTGCGGCAGCGCAGAAGAGAAAAGAGGGTATTAGGAGAGAGGGGAGCAGCCAGGCAAACAGGTAAGGCAGGGCTGGCTGGGGGAAAAACAACACCGTGAAGAGGTGGGAGGGAATAGGCTCCAGAGTTGAGAAGATTCTGGGGACCTCTATAGACATGATCATAGGGCATTGCCTATACTGGTCTTCTGGACAAAGCTAGGAGAGAAGTTTCCTGGGAATAGAGGATTCAGAAGAGAAGGTCCTGGTGAGGCAGCCGAGCCTTGGTACGGCTTGGCAAGCCACACCCCAGCTGAACTGCAGATCCCTGGCTATGACCTTGGCTCCGAGTACGAGGGGGAAGGACATGGTTAAAGTTTCAGGAGCACTTCAAAGGAAGGAACAGCATGACTTGGCAAGGTGGACCTCGAGTAAAAGCAGCTGGGAAAAGCAAAGATAACAGTGATGGCCATTTCCCCCTGGGACAAGTGAGGAGAAGAAGGGAACATGGAGAGAAAAGGTGTATTCCCCGCTGAGGGCAAGTCTGGTCGAAGATGTTCTACGTCAGCTCTGCTGGTGGTGGCCTGGAGGGCTGGGTTATCTCCTATCACAGTCGGCATCTCTCGAGGCCAAAAGGAAGGTCAGAGGTTCCCTGAAAGGCAGGTGAGGGTGGGAGAGGTCCTTTACCCAACAAGAGTAGCTGTGACTGGAGAGAATGGTCCTGCCACATGGCACAGGGTCAGTCTGGTGCTCCCCTGTGCCCTGGCACTGAGCCGCCTTGTGATTCAGGGCCCGTTTTCTCCTCGTGGTAGGCTTCTGGTTTTTTGTTTTTGTTTTTGTTTTTCTTTTTTTGGGTCACACCCGGCGATGCACAGGGGTTACTCCTGGCTCTTCACTCAGGAATCAGTCCTGGCAGTGCTCAGGGGACCATATGGGATGCTGGGAATCGAACCCAGGTCGGCTGCGTGCAAGGCAAACGCCCTACCTGCTGTGCTATCGCTCCAGCCCCAGGCTTCTGTTTTTTTACTAAATGAAGGCCGTGATTTAAAAGGGCATTGCCAGTTTTTATTTGCCAGCCTAAGAACAGAAGAAGAAATGAGGAGATCTGAAGGAGGTCTGGCCTTCAGGAGGCCCAGAGGGGTCCAGGCACAAGTGAGAGTGAGAGAGAAGAGCGGCAGAAGGCAGGGGCCACAGCAACACCGGGACACACCCAGACGTGTGCTCTTTGGCAGCCTTGCAGCCTCAGATGCTGACACGCTCCCCCTACACACAGCATGCACGCAGACACACAGCACTTTCCACAGGTGACAGCAGGAGAGGTTCTGCCTCCGCCATTAGACACCTCCTCCTCCAGCAGCTTCCTTTGGATTTGGTGGATGAGGGGCCCAGTGAGAATGAGAGGGGCTCAGCCTACCATCCTCCACTTGTCAGGGTCCCCGAGGCATCCTTGACTCCGGTTCCTGTAGTTATAGTGGGTTTGCAGCTGCAGGGTCCCGAGAATAGCATGGCTGCCCCATGCCAGGCTTCTCTTGGGGCCTGATCCTTGGGAGTGGTGGGAGGAAGAGGAGGCGGCCAACTTCCTCAAGGCCCAGTAGAGGAATCTGAGGCCCAGAAATAACTGGTCACTAGCCAGAGGTCAGCAAGCAAGGGGATGCAACAGACCAGGCTCAGGTCTGGTTTAGAACAGGCTCAGAAGTAAGGGGCAGAAAGAAGGAAGTGAAATTCCTCTGCCAGCCTGAGGGCTTCCTTTCTCAGAGAAGCTTCATGACAGGCAGTTCTGAGGAGTCTGGCACCCTTCCCGAGAGACTCTGAGCAGGTCAGACAACTGCCAGGTCGTGTTCTGGGAAACTCAGGCTCTGAAGGGAAGTTTCTCCCATGGAGGTCAGACAGGAGCACCCACCTGGCCTGTGAAGCATTCACCTGCCCCACAGACCAGGACCGTGCTCCGGCTGGGGTGTGAAAATTTACCAGCCCCAAGCTTCCTTCCCAGCCACACTAGTTCCATGCATGTGTCTCTAATTCAGGGTCTGCCCCAGCTCCAGTCACCTCCACATCCAGTTAGTCCCCATGTCTTGCCAATGGCCTCTCCCATCACCTCTCAGCTCATCCTCACCTCTCCACACCTTGCACCAAACCTGTGCAGAGATTCCTCACTGCCCGTCCACCCCAGTTCTCTTCCTCACAGACTCCACAGAAAACTTTATGAAACATATTCCTTCTTCTTGCATAATTTTTTTCTTTTTGGGTCACACCCAGTCAGGGGTTCCTCCTGGCTCTGCACTCAGGAATTACTCCTGGCGGTGCTCGGGGGACCATATGGGATTCCGGGGATTGAACTCGTGTCAGCTGCATGCAAAGCAAATGCCTTATCTGCTGTAAGGCATTTGTAAATGCCTCTAGCCCCTCATGTATGTTTTCGGGGTTCCCAATCACTGGCTCAGTACCTGCGTCTCTCTTTGAGTGTTTTTGTAGACTGAATGCTCTCTTTTTAGCCCACGCTTTTAAATCCCAGGGGTTTCTGTCCCCTCTTCATAAAGGCCAAACTCTTTGGTATGGATGAAGACTCTTTGCAGTCAGCTATCTGCCTCTTTGACCCCAGTGTTAGTTGCTGAAAGTGGGCCTGTGGGTCTCTCACTCCCGTCACTGGCACAGGCCAAGCACACAGTCAGCTCAGAAAATGGATGATTTTGTGCAGAGCAGAATGCAATAAGGGTCATCAGAGCTACATATTATTTATACAGAGAAATAAGAGAGAGCAGCTGCTTTCGGGCACCTGCCTGAGTCCCTAGGAGGGGATGAGTCTGGGAGACAGGTGGAGGCGGTATGTGGAAACTCCAGAGAGAAGCTGGCGGAGCCTTAAGCCTTAAGGGGTGCTCTGGAAGGAACCCCGGCAGAGGGGGAAGTTTGTGGCCTATAGTATGCACGTGCTTTTCTTGAGAGGGATTAGAAGGCCAGGGATCTTGGGGGACAGAAACCTGTGCTGAGAACAGGAGTGGGGCCTGCTTGGGGTTCTGGGTGTTTGGAGGGAAGAAAGCCTGCTTCAGAGAGGAAGCCCTGTAATGGGCAGCATAGTGATGGGAAGGGACGCCCCCATGTAGTGTGGGGTGGAGGGACTGCTGTGGGAAGGTAAGACTCCTACAGGACACTATAGCCCAGATTAGGAAAGTGGGACTTGTGGGGGTTGCTGCTGAGAAGAGGGGGGTCCACCCTGCTGTTGAAGGAATGTTCCCGGTTTTGGAAAAGAAAAACCTCCATGGGGATATGGGGATCCACAGTTGACGTTCAAGTGTGGCCATGCACTAAGTGGAGACCCTGTCCCCAGGCCCCGCCATGGGGAAGACCAACAGCAAACTGGCCCCAGAGGTGCTGGAGGATCTGGTCCAGAACACGGAGTTCAGTGAGCAGGAACTGAAGCAGTGGTACAAGGGCTTCCTGAAGGACTGCCCCAGCGGCATCCTTAACCTGGAGGAGTTCCAGCAGCTCTATATCAAGGTGGGTGGGGAGCGGGCCAGGTACCTTAGGTGGCTAGTCGAATGGGCAGAGGCAGGGTCGGTCACCGGAGGAGGGTGGGGGTGGGCGGAGCATTTAGGGCGGAGCCAGGTAGCACAGGAGGTGGGCCAAAATGGGTGGGGGGCAGGGCGGAGCCCGTGTGTATGTGCGTGTGTGGGAGGGGGAGGGGGAGGAGGAGGCAGCTCGGGGGCGGGGCAGAGTCTCTGGGGGCGGAGCCATGCAGCCCGGGGGCGGGGCAAAGTATCTGGGGGCGGGGCCAGGCAGCCCAGGGGGCGGGGCAGAGTGTCTGGGGGCGGGGCCAGGCAACCCAGGAGGCGGGGCCAAGCTGATAGAGGTGGGGCCGAGCCGATGGAGGCGGGGCCGGGCAGCCCTGGAGGCGGGCCGGGCGGGCGGGGGCGGGGCGGGCAGAGCCGAGGGTGGGGCGCGTTGGGGCCGCCCATCCCCGCCGTGCCTCCATGGCCCCTTCCCCCTTTAGTTCTTCCCCTACGGCGACGCCTCCAAGTTCGCGCAGCACGCTTTTCGCACCTTTGACAAGAATGGCGACGGCACCATCGACTTCCGGGAGTTCATCTGCGCCCTCTCGGTCACGTCCCGCGGCAGCTTCGAGCAGAAGCTCAACTGGGCCTTTGAGATGTACGACCTGGACGGCGACGGGCGCATCACGCGCCTGGAAATGCTAGAGATCATCGAGGTGCGCTGGGGCGAACCCTAGGCACCGGGTTGGCGGGGCAGGCAGCATCTCTTCCTTCACTGCGGCAGGCCTCCCCGGACCCAGCTTGCCCCCACCACCCTTCTGTAGGGCGCCAGGAGCCTCCTAGCACCCACACGCAGCTCCTGGGCTCCCGTGGCTTCTTGGCATCAGGCTCAGTGCAGCTTCGGTCTTGTGCCAAGTGCATGAGCCAACGGGCCGAGCGGGCAGGGACCCCCATCTTACAGCCGGGGAAACCCAGCAGGTGGCAGCGGTTAAGAGTCTGACCTCACAGTCAGGTCTGAGAAATTCTCGTTCATTCTTTTGGCAAACGGGTAACGAGTGCCTGGCATATGCTGAGCACTACACGGGCATTCCAGCTTTGGGGACTGTCCTTCTAGTGAAAATAAATTCGGACAGCAGGAGCAACAGCCTAGGCAACGTTAGGCATGTGAAGTATTTTGAAGATGGCAAACTGCAACATAAGAGAGAACGATGAGGAATAGTGAGTTTACAAGGTGAAATGTGAGTGAGTAGCACCAGGTGAGAGCTAACCGTGTCGCTGTCTAGGAAAGATTGTTGTAGGCAGAGGGTACCAGAAGTTCAGAGATGCTACTGGAAATCGGGTTGTAATGCTCAAGGAGCAGCCAGGGTGGAAGGAGGGCAAGAGGTGGGAATGTGGTCTCCTTTCCAGCACCCAAGTCTCAGTGTCTCCTGATGCCTGGGCTGCTTTACCAGTGGGAAGAGCGGCCACTAGAGGGCTCTCTGCTCTCAGCGTGGAGAACAGATGGAAGCCACAGAAGCAGGGAGACTTCCACGTGTCTCAGTCCAGAGCTGAAGGAGGAGAGGAAGTGGCAGGAATGGTTGGGCCTGGGATTGGTTGCAGAACTAGAGCAGGCAAGATTTGCTGAAAGATCCTGTGTGAGAGAAGGAGGGAGATCCAGATGGAACCTAAGTTTTGATTTAAATACATCCAAGGTAGATACTGTTTACTGAGACAGGAAATGCTGGGGGAAGGGGGGGTGCAGGGTGAAGAGTTGGGGTTTATCAATTAATTAATTAATTGGGGGAGGGCATACCCTGCCGTGCTCAGGGTTTACTCTTGGCTCTGTGCTCAGGGGTCTCCCCTGGTGAGGCTTGGTGGGACCGTATGGGTCCTGGGGATTGAACACAGGCCAGATGCATGCAAGACAAATGTCTCACCCACTGCCCTACTTACTTCCCTAGACCAAGAGCTGGGTTTTAGACATCGTTAATTGTGAGATGCTCCGCTATATTCTGCCTTAATGATTAAACATCCCCTTCCAGTATTTTAATCATCTCCCAGTGGGCCCCCCTTCCTTTGTTCACCCTGGTCCTCCCTCTCTGCCCCAGGCTATCTACAAGATGGTGGGCACTGTGATCATGATGCGCATGAACCAGGATGGGCTCACCCCCCAGCAGCGCGTGGATAAAATCTTCAAGAAGATGGACCGGGATAAGGACGACCAGATCACGCTGGAAGAGTTCAAAGAGGCGGCCAAGAGTGACCCGTCCATCGTGCTGCTGCTGCAGTGTGACATGCAGAAGTAGAGGCTGGTGAGGGGCAGGCCCCCAGAGGAGCACACTCACCTCCCACCCGTCACCTCTCTGGCTGGTCCTTCCCCAGGGAAAGGGGGACACCAGTCTTACTGTCTGGCTAACCCACCCCTCTGCCCAAGTCCTTGTCCGCCCCCCCTCCATGATCCTTGAGGGACCACCTCCCCCCTGGAAAAGAGACAGATCCTCAGGTATCCTGTCCTCCAGCCCCATACCCAGTTGTGGTCCAGAGCCCAGCACCTCCTGGGCTTATCGGAGAGCTGGCTCTGGCTCCGAGAGACAGGCTTAAGGTCTGGGATTTTTTTTCCCCCCTGTGGAATTCTGTAGTTCCTGGCATCAGACTTTCTAGGATGTGGTCCCACCAACCCAAGTTCAAGGGCCAAATTGGGTCTGTCTTTTGCTGAAGACCCAAGTCCTTAATGTGGATCTCTGCCTTGCCCCCTGGATTCTACCTGGTCCCTCGGCCCCCACTTGGGAGCCTGCATCCAGCCTTTTCCTCAGCTCACATGTATTAAGTCGCCTGTTCCATGCCAGGCCCCTCTAGGTGCTAAGAGTGTGCAGTGCCCTGTGGGAGCGCCTACGGTGGGAGGTGGATCTCAGCCAGGGTGTGGTGAGGCTGGTTCTTTGGAAGGGAACTATTGAACCTTCCCACCAGCTCCCCGCAGAGCTGCAGGAGGATGAAGCAAAGAGGATTCAGAAGCCTCTGAACCCCGAGGGTGGATGTTTTAAGAAACATTGCAATCATGTGATTATTTTTCTTAGCACCCCTGAAAAGAGCTCCCCATTTTATTAGTATAGGATGAAAGAAGTCTTTATATTTACTGGATTCTTACGATTACATAAATATAGAAAATGCTGATTTTAGGGAGAAAGAATGCTGGGGGACAAAAGAGGGAAAACTTGCCACCAAACTTGCCAGCTCACACGTTTCCTTATCAGGCTGAGCCTGGGCTGCCGTTGTCAGCATTTTCTGCTGCCGCTTCCTTTTCCATGAGCATATCAAGGCCTCGCAGCTCCTGGGTGCACTTACCCTGGAGGGGTGCTGACTTTAGGGAGAAAGGCAAGCCTACCAGGGTGAGACCCGTGCCTTGCCCGCCTCTTGCTGGTTTGGCCCTGAGTTTGGTCTCGTTCAAGGAGGGGCTTGTTCTCTGGCTGCTAAAGGAAGAAGGAGCTGGAAGACGAAGACCCCTAGCCACTGTTTAGGCTGAATAGGTGGCGGTGATGAGCCCGCGGCCTCACCCTGCACTGGGCGAGCTTCACGGGAAAGGCTTTTTTGATGCCCCTGTCCTAAATCTGCCAGGCAATCCCTCATCTCTCAAGTGCTCTACTTTTGCTTCCCCGTGTCTGCTCTGCCCCTGGGAGCCACATGCTCCCGGCTGCATGCTCTGGCCGCCAGAAAAGCGAGTCGCCTCTCTTCCCGCGCTGCTCTCCTGTCTCGTGATCAGTGGCTTGCTGTGCCCTGGCGAGGACATCCTCATGAAAAACAGTCTCATCCCCAGTGGTTGCCTGCCCGTGGGGGGCGGGGGGAAGCAGGGAGTGGCTGCCCAGGTGGGGTGCACGGATGTGTCTGCAGGAAAGACACACAGCTCGCCTCTCTGGGGTGGTGCACCCCTGCAGGCAACTGGGGGTGCGTCCTTTGGGCCTAAATTCCATTGGATTTTGCTTCTTTGCTGCCCTGGAAGGTAGCAGAGCCCTTGGGTGACACCCTTTTTTCTCTCTTTTTGCCTAGTAAGCTGGGGACATTGCCCTGAGGGCAGTAACCAGCAGGATTCTAACAGGCACCACTTCAGAGGATGCTCCATTGCTCTCAGGAGCGGCTCTTACAGGGCTTTTTGCTGTCAGTCATAGACACGCAGATACTCAGCAGCCCAGCTCCACTGAGACCCAGAGAGTAACACAGGAAGGCTTCCTACAGAGTGGGATGCCTTCCCTGCCCCAAGGCTGAATCTAACCATTGTCACCCAGAATGTCTTGGCTTTCAGACACTTGACCCTCGAAGCTGAGGGAAGTAGGGATTTTCATTCCCTTTCTCCAGACTCAGGCTTCCCTTATGAGTCTCTTCCCCACCCACCCGGCTCTCTGATGCTCAGAGGTAGCAGGGCTGAGTCTGGGGTCCCAGTTGGCTTCTGCAAGCTTCCTGCCGAGAAGTTTCTGAGCTGTGGTCTTCCAAACAGAAACAGGAGCGTTTTGGCCCTCCTCATGTGGGGGCAACCCTCCTGTCACTTCAGCTCATGGGTCCCTGCTGTCCCCAAAGTCTCTGCCTCAGAACTCTGGGGGCTTCTTACACCTTTTCTGCCACATGGGGCACACTGGCTTACTCTCAGCTCTGGACACATACCCGTGGATGATCTTGACTGGTTCTCAGATGGTCCAATAGTGTGAACCCATAATGCCAGGCTAGGCATCAGCACCATCACCTTGTGGATTCGAGAAACCCCGGGTGGGGGGGGGGGGTCAATGCTTCCAAATACTCCTGGGGGTACCAGGGATCGTGTGCTCAGAGTGGTGGTGCACCTGAGAAAAGAGACAACCTTTACATCTCTGCCCTGGCGGGAGAGATGTGCCACAGAGTCAGGTCAGCAGAGCTGGAATCTACCTTGCAGCAACAATGAACAGTCACAGCCAGTTAGCACACAGCTGTGTCCAGATCCAGACTCCTTTGAAGTTCCGGATCTCGCAGTAACTAATGTTCTGAATTTCTGGGTCCCAGAATCTTCCTTCTCATCCGTTTCTGTCCTCATTTATCCTTTTGGGCTTAAGAGCAGCCTCTGATTTCTTATCTCTAAAATCATCTCCAAGGGAAGCATGGCCATTACCATTCTTCAGTTGGAGTCTGGGTTCTATAAATTTATCTTGAAGTCCAAAGTTAAGGGAAAGGAAGCCCTACAGCCAAGGACGTGGATTTTTTTCTAACACTGACATAAGGTGCTAGGCACAAACAGTCCTGCTACAGAGAGAAACGGGAAAGAGAATAAGGAAAGAAATGGGTCTGTAGGTAGGAGAGTAAGTGGACACTCTAAATATTTTTACACGGAAATTGATTAAAGCCAAGATATTTCCTGAAAACCCACTCTGGGTGAGGCTTGCTGCTGATTCTGTGCTGGTCACTGTGGGCAGGAAGACATTTCTTACGTATTTTGGTCATTGGAAAAATAGCAGCTCCTGACCCGGAGACATCTCAAAGGTGGGATTTTCTTTTGGAAAAGGCCAGCCTTTTCTTTGACCTTCACCAGATGTGGGGGGATCTGGGCCTACCAGGGGCCCATGGTCTTTCTGGCTGCTGCGTAAGGCTATGGAAGTGGGAGGGGGTAGGAAAGCAGGGGTTGAGTGCAGGGGGGCATCCCAGCTTATTCTTCAGGAGGGCCCCCCTGTCCCCTCCAGCTTGTGGCCGTGCCCCAGTGACTGCCCTCACGTCTGCCCCTGTACTATGTGCTGTGACCCTCTGACAGTGAATAAAAGGTGTGAACGTGCTGGGGGCTCTTCTCTGGGAGGGGCAGGGGTGGAGAGGTGAGGGGAGCTCACACTGGGGAGGCCCGGGCTCTACCGTGGTGCTGACGACTGCGTGAGCCGGGTTCCACACTTGAGCTCTGAGAAGAAAGGGGTGTGCAGACCACAGGTACCCTCCAGAGGGGAAATCAAGAGGGCTGGCCTGGCAGGGGAGGGGGTGCTGGGCTTTCCAGGATGGCCTTCTTTCTGGGCCTCGGTCGCTCTTGTCCCCTTGGCAGTATTGGCCTCTGGGCGCCTCCCTGGTCCCTATGCAGAGTCCCTTGCTTGCCTGCACCGAGGGACTGAGCAGCCCCCGAAGCTCTGCACCCTGACTCACCAGAGACCCTTCGGTTCAATTCTCAAGCCAAAAAATCTGACTGGTCCTGCTCAGCTTTTGCTGGAAGCCCTTGATCCATACCTGATGATGCTGATACGGGGAATTGGGTGGACAGAGCAGTCTGCCCAGAGGGGAATATGTGGCAGAAAACATGGAATGTGGGTTTTCCCTCTTTGCAATGGATGCAATCCCTTAGAGCCCAAGAGAGAAGCTGGAGAGAGGTGGAGACCCGGGTTATGACGCATCTAGAGGGGAACTTTGTACAGATGAGGAAAAAATGCCCCTTTTGAGCGGAAGCAGGTTCATAAGTATTCAGTGTTTTGGGTAATTAGGGAAACACAACCCTGAACACATCCGGTCGGGGTAGCATTGCGGGAGAAGTAGATCGTGGCCTGGAGTTCAGCCTGCACTTGCCCTACTGTCGGGGGTGGTGGAGAGGTGCGTGACCAGCTCCGTCAGCTGCAGGAGAGCCCAGCCCAGAGGCCTGGACCCCTCCACGAAAGGCCTGGGGATGGGATCTGGTGGCGGCTTTTTCTTCCAGGAAACCTGGCCGGGGTCTGAGAGGCACTGCTTGGTGCGCAGCGTCCTCCTGCAATGCTCCATCGCTCTCCTAAGGGTTTTCTCAAGGGCGCCGGGAGGGGGCAGCTTCTCAGCAGGAAGCAATTAGAGCAGAGGAAGGAGGGTGACCTGGCCTGGGGGCAAGTGAGAACCCAAGGAGGTGACTCAGAAGTCTGAGACCTTGGGTCTGTTCTTTCCAGCTGAAGCCACTCTGGGGGCACGGGTCCTATTTCCCACCTGCCAGGGACAAACAGGACCTGGTGCCCTCTGCCTCCCACTCACAGGCTTTCTTCTGTCCCTTCTACTGCCACCAGGAGGAAAGCAGAGCAACCCTCTTCACCCCTAATTTGACTGGGAAGTTCCTCCAACATCCCTCTGGCCCGGCATGATCTGCCACCTCTTGACCCTGCCCTAAGCCCCCTGAATCCCTCCCTCCATTTCTCTCAGGCTCCTGTGCCTCTCCCCAGTCATGGCTCTTCCCAGTCTCAGTGACCCCCATGAAGCCTCTCACACCTCAGAGGACCAGCCCCACGTGAATGGCCTACCCGAGCTACCAAACAGCTGCCCACAGGATTCCACGCCCACAAGGAACAGATATTTCTTGGAGGCATCTGTTGAAGAATGTTCTGGAAACTTAGAGAAGGACACTCTAGGCAGACCTTCACTGGGGCTCGAGGCCCGCATGATCAGTAGCAGCATGGTTTCTTTCATGGTGTCCACTGCCTCCTACCTCTTCCCCATCTTGAGCTGCTGACCCCACTGAGAAAACGGGGTGTCCAGACCACAGACACCCTCCAGAGGGGAAATCAAGAGGCCTTCTGTTTCCTCTTAACCATTGTCACTAGGCTGCTGGTGGCAAGGCTGGCCCACATCCCCAAGAAGTCTCTGGCATCGCAGCATCCTCTGTAGCACCAGTAGACTCTCTCCCACCCACTCTTCCCAAGTCCCATTCCCCCCAAATAGGGATCTGACAGACCCAGGTCCCAGATCATCTTTCCAACCCAGGCCACACAGGTCAGAGGTGACTGGACAGCTTGGGACTGGGTCAAGCTGTCCTCAGATAGGACCTCAGGAACTCCCCATCTCCACTCAAGATTTTTCTCAATACAGTCTTCTCCTGTGCCCCCCTCCCTGAGGTACCCAAGCCCTTCTTAGTTTCAGTCTCTCTTGCTACAAAACAAAGCATCCCTAAACCGAGAGCTTAAAATAACGCTGTGTACCCTTTGTGGTTCTGAGTTGGGCTGGGCTCAGCTGGAACATTTGCAGCTTTATGTGCCATCCAGCGATGTCTTTCTGGGAGCTGAGGGCCTGGGGATGCAAATCAGCATTCGAACACTTGCTTGGTATGCATGAGTTAGATCTCTGGCACTGCCAAAAAAAAAAATAGAAGAAGAAGAAGTAAACCTAGATCCTACAGGTGCAATAACCTAGGGCTGGAACAGCCAAGATGGCCTCACCCATGTGGCTGAGCATTCCAGTCACCAGAGGAACCACTTTCTCCTCTGACCTCCCATGGCCACTCTCCTGCCCCATGAAAATCCAGACAGACTCCTTTCTTAGCAGCAGGTTCCCAAGAAGAAAAATGGAATCTGCAATCACCTCCATGCATAGTTTTGCTTCTACACATCCGACTCACAAACACAAGTCCCTGGGTCAGCTCAGAGTCAATGCTGTCTCTGGTTTTATTTTTAGGTCACACCTGCTGGAGGAGGGGTGTGCAGCAGGACAGTCCGGGGGCTCCTGCATGTAAGGCTGTGTGCTCCAGCTGTCCAGCCTCAACTTTACCTCTGGATAGATGGGGTGTCAAAGTCGTACTACTATAGGGCAGAGATGTGGGAGACTTTGGAGGCCTCGCTGCATGCTCTCAAAGACTCAGGAAGGGCAAGTGTAAGCATACGTCCCCTAGGAATCAGAGGCAGCTCAGTGGGCATAATACCTACCTTGATCCTGTGTCACCCACACTTGCTGGTCAGTGACTCTGCTGTTTGGGACTTCTACTTGCGGCAACAAAGAGTGTAATCTCTGACACACCACAGCCTAGTGGGTGTGAGCCCCACCACTAAAGGGTGTGATTCCTGGAGTAAGGGGCACTATAGCTGATCGACTTTGACCCTAAGTAAACACCAAAACTCAGGGCATGCAACCCCAGTGAGCACCATGGTCAACGATATGAGCACTGAGGTCAGAGATATAGTTCCAGGGCTAAGTGCATGCTCTGCATGCAAAGAGGATGATCCTCAGCACAGCATGGTCTCCCAAATACTGTCAGAAGCAACCCACAGCACAGAGCCAGAAATAGTCCCCAGGCCCCAAGGACCAAGGATGTGAGCACTACATCCAAGCCATGTGTGGCTCCTGCCATTGCAAAAACAACAGAAGGAAAGGAGAAAACAAACTTCCCCAAATCCTAAAACTCATTTTCTCTCCCCTCCCACTCAAGGTTTGGTTGGCTCTTCCCCGGACACAGTGGAGGCTGTGTTCTATAATCCCTCCGTTCTCTAACCCCGTTCAGGCAGCCGCTCTCCTCTATCCTAAGCTGGACTCTTCTGTGCTCCCTCCTGCCAGTGCAGACTTCTAAACTCAGACAGAAATGTCCCTTGTTGGCTTCCTGGATTGCGCCTTGGGGTGGACGGCATCAGTATCTGCACGTTGCAGTTCAACAGGGGAAAGTGCCTTAGACGGTCCAAAGTGAGGGGGCAAAGTCTTTGCTTCTGAACCTCCTCTGCAGGCCCTTCCTGGGCTAACCAACCCGAGCAGGGGGCTCTGGGCGTGCGCGGCCCCTAGTGGCCCTCAGTGGACCAGCAAGTATTCAGAGTCGCTCTCGGGCTTGGCCGGACTCCGGTCTCGCCAGGGACGTCAGGGGCCCTTCGCCTTGACCGGCAAGGACTCCACGGTGCTACCGGCGAGAGCTGTCCGTCGTGTCCTCCTTCCCGTCCGCAGACGGACTAGGGAGTCCCATTCAAGGGCTCAGGGTCACAGCCTCATAGAAGGAAAAGGAGAGTTGGGTGACATTTGGGGGCTGGAGGGAGAGGGCCGGCGGCTGGCTTTTCTTTTCTGTCTCCTTTAGGGGGTCGTCATCCTGGGGAATAAAATCGCCAGGCCTCCCTTCTGTCGATGCCCTGCCATCCCGATCCCCAGGAACCCTCACACCGCGCTCGCGGCCAATGCAGCCGCCACCCCCCGCCACAACCACTCCGGGTGTAGGACGCCCCGTTACGGGGGAGAGCTCGGCTGTGCCTACAACCACGTACAACTCGGCACTGCACCGCGGCCGCGGCCTGGGCGGGAGAGCGCCCACCGCCCCGCACGCGCCGCGCTGCCCGGCTGGCGCGCGCCCCCGCCCCGCCGCCGCCGCCGCCCGCCCCTTCTCGCGCCCGGGACGCGCCTCCCTCCCGCAGCCCCGCCAGCTCCGCGTCGGGCCGCCGCCTGCTCGGGCCGGGCCGGGTCGCAGCCGGAGCATGGAAGCCGGGGAGCCTCGGCAGCCCCGCGAGCCCGGGCCGGGGGCAGAGACCACCACGCCGGCCCCGCGCTGGGAGGAAGCCAAGACTTTTTACGATAACCTGGCGCCCAAGAAGAAACCCAAATCGGTAAAAGCAGAGGGTGTGCGTGCGTGTGTGTGTGCGTGTGTGTGTGTGCGTGTGTGTGTGTGTGTAGGGGTGGGGGGAGGAGGCAGGGAAAGGGTCTCCCGGGGGAGGGGGCGTCGGATTCCCCCCGCCCCCGCTGGAGAGACCGGGGTGGCCCCCGCGGGAGCTGGGGACAGGGGGACGCGGCTCCTCCGCCCCTTGAATGTGCCCGGGGTTGGCGCGGGCTCGGGGCTATTTTGGGAGCTTTGCCCTGGTGTGCGTTCACCCCGGGACTCGGCTTCCACGCCAGGATCCCCCTCCCCCATGCTGTCACCGGGCTCCGCGCTCGGGGCGCGCTGCCCAGCACCCCCTGCCCGCCCCCACCGCCCGCGGCAGCTTGGGGTCTGGTACGCACTTGTTGGCCAAGCGGGTCCGCAGCAGCCCGGGTCGCGCACCGGGGCTCTGGAAACCGGTTCCTTGCCGTGTACCCCATCTTTTCCACGGGTCCCGGGCTCTGAGCGCAGCGCTCGCAGCGTCTGGGGCGAAAGCATCTGCCTGGGAATCAGCCTGCGCCCTGCGCTCTGCGCCCTGAGCTCTGCGCCCCTGGCGCCCAGCCCCCAGCCTGGTCCGCGCCGCTGCTCTACTGCCCAGGCGGTGGGCTTCCGCACGCCCCCAAGACCCCCCACGGAGGCCTCAGCCCTCCGAAGCTCAGAGGACACGGCTCCTCTCCCAACTGGACAAGTTCAAGATGCTCAGGTTGGTGTCTAGGTCTTTCTAACGCCAACTTGACCGATCTGTGGGGGGGGGGGGGCAGGGGGGGGGGAAGCAGGGTAGAGATAAGCCAGGGGCCTCTTCCAGAGAGTTCTCAGACAGATGGAGAACGTCCTGTTGTTCCCCATCAACCCTGTCTGCAATACTGTCTGCAAGTATTGACCCTTGCTGACAGGTCTGCTCAGAGCTGGGAGTGGAGAGGTGAATCAGGTTAGCGCGGAGCCTCAGAAGGTGTCAGGGGGACCCTCCACCCTCCACTCCAGCTACCTGGGAGAAAAACCTCCTGCTCTGATACGGGGATCTGCGGGAAAGAGGACCTCAGACTAAGGGGTGCTTTGTGGTTGTGGCCCTGGAGCTGGTCTTAAACATCCGTCTCCTGAGGCAGGTTTCTTAGAGAGAGAGGGAAGAGGGCCTGAAAGGACTCTGTAAAGGAAGCGAGAAGGCTGGTCAGAGTTGGTGCCCCGAGGTGGGCCTTGAGTGCCCAGGCCTTAGTGAGTTCTAGATTTAAAACCAGGTTCTCTGGTGCCCCATATTTCAGAGGGTCTGCACACAGGTCAAACCATGTTTCAAACAAGATTTTAAAATGCGTCTCAAATCTACCAGCTTCAGCAATGTGGTATGCCTCGCAGCACCTGGGATGCCAGGACGTAACTTGTGCTGCAGGCTGGGTACTGTGAGGCAGATCTCCAAACCATGCCTTTCCTGGCACCAGTGTGATAGCAGATCCTCTTGTTTGTTGTTGCTGATGATCTTTTAGTTTGACACCTGAAAACAAAACCAAAGCTTTTTGACATGTGCAGCCACTTCTTGCTATGACACAGGACTTTCTCATTTCTGTGCAAAACACCCTAAACCCAGAAACAAGTGAGCTGGATGATGAAGCTGATGTCTGCACAGGAACCCTAATTTCTACTTTCAAATGTATCATCCCCCAAGTAGCAGTCTGAAGCCAGTGTAATAAATACCCTCTGTTGTGTAATACATTTGAACTTATAAAATCAGTTTTATCAATAAAGGAAGACCAGGGGCCAGAGAGATAGTACACAGGTAGGGCACTTGCCTTGCACAAGGCTGACCTGGGTTTGATCCCCAGCACTCCATATGGTCCCCTGAGCTTGCCAGGAGATGTTCCCTGAGCGCAGAGACAGAAGTTAAGCCCTGAGCACAGCTGATGTGGCCCCAAACAAAACAAAGGCCATAACTGATTTACATATTGGGGTTCTGCCCATGAATTTGTTGGATAGAAAGGTCAAACAACACATTTTAAAATGCATAGAGGGGCTGGAGAGATAGCACAGGAATTAAGGTGCTTGTTGGATGCCTGGCACCGCATGGTTCCAAGAGCACTTCCTGGAGTGTCCCCCAAGCAAAGTCAGATCCAAGCCTCCATAAACCACTGGGCTTGGCCCCAAAGCTTCCCTCCTCTGAAGCAGGAGTGATAAGACAGCAGGTAGGGTGTTTGCCTTGTACACATGTAACCCAGGTTCCATCCCTGGCACCCCATCTGGTCCCCTGAGTACTGCCAGGAATGATCCCTAGACTGGAGTGATAGTACAGTTGGTAGGGCACTCAAGTACCTTGTACATGACCAACCAGGGCTTGATTCCTGGCATTCTATATGGTCCCCTGAGCTCTGCCAGAAATAATTCCTGAGTGGAGTTAGGAGTAAGGAGTTAAGTTCGGAGGGAGCCCTGAACAGTGCTGGGTGTGGTCACAAAACAAAACAAACCAAACAAAAAAATTCTCCCTCCAAAAATAAAACCATAATGACCGTCGGGGTGAGAATGTGGGTCTTTCAGCGAGATTTCACAGGGGCCAGCGTGGTGGATGATTGGGGCAGGCTGGCCAGGAGACGGTAGGCCGTGCCTGAGGGGGAGCAGGCTGGGAGTGGGGAGGAGAGACCATGGGACTAAAGACGTGAGTGGAACTCTTCAGCCCGTTTCCTCCCCACGCTTCAAGGAACAAGGCGACTTGAGCCCAGCTAGCCTCTGTGACTGCTTGGTCAGCTCCCAAATCTCTCAGTTCTCTGTGAGGTCCGGGGCCTGGTGGCCTTCTGGCCCCCTACTCCTTCCTGTAGTAGCCTCTCCTCCCACGGGCTATTTTTGGGGACTTTGGGCCTCAGGGGTCCCATCAGGGCCTGTCCTGGGCTAATTCTCATTCCTAGGAACTTGAGTCAAATATTTAAACCCTGAGAGCCCCGAGGAGGGCCTCAGCTCAGGGGTCAGAGGGCCATCTCAGTCAAGACTCGCCTGTCACCATCTCCCCCAGCAGCTTTCTAGCAGTCACAGCTTGAGGGCTCTATTCCCATCTGGGGCCCAGTGGCAGACTCCTGCCAGCCTAAGGCTGGACTCTGCAGGCAGGCTGGCCGGGGGATGGACTGCTTCTCTACCCCGCTAGGTGGGCGGAGGGGGCTCCCCAGAGGAGGCAGCCTGTCCTTCAGTGGAAGGCAGAGAGAAGGCTCCCTGGAGCCAGGGTTCCCGGGCGGAGTCCCTCATCGGGGAGCAGGATGGACCTCTGTGGACCCTAAGCTTCTTTCTGATTTCCACAGCAGTTGTCACTAGTTGCCGGCACGCGGCTGATGGCCTCTCTCTGCTGCTGGTCCGGCCTCTCCCCACCATGTACAGCCCTGTCCACCTGTTCCCTTAGCTCTGCCGGTCTGGCAGGCCACTCGCGTGTCCGGACTGGAAACCGTGGGGCCCAGCACGTGCCATTGAGGCCCTGAGGTGCCACCTCACTTGCAGTGTCCCCAGCAAAGGGCCCCGTGTTTGCAGAGTTGGCTAAAAGGGGAGGCGGGGTCCTGCCCTGGAGATGACCATTCTCTAGAGAAAGAGAGCCCTGTCCCAGGGCACGAAGGGCCCCACCATTTCTCTCAAATCCGGAAAGTTCTAAGAGTGCTTCTGGGAAGAGGCTGTAAAAGCAGGGTCTGGGGTCTCCAGGGAGTTACTAAGAAGGACCATATCAGGAACTGCTGTGAGAACGGGGGCCCTCACGAAACGCCAGCAACACGGCCTCTGACCTTGCTCTGTCTGGCTTTGCTGTGGATCCCAGATTATGACTAGCTCATCTCTGAACCCATTTCTCCAACCGCTGAGAAGGGAAGTAGTAACTCCCAGGGCAAAGGTCGTCAGGACAAACATTTTCTTGAATGGGCTAAGCAGAGCTCGGCCAGAGGGGAGCCAGGTCTGCCTGAGACTCGGGACCGTGGGGCCGAAAGTGAGCGAGTGCGGTCTTGGCTGACTGCCGGGTCTCTGGCAGTTGGTAGCCTGCCTGCAGGGGCTGGGAGGGCAGCCGGCCCTCTGTCCTTGAAGAGGTGATGGGCCTGTTTCTGGCGACAGAAACCCAAACAAGCAGGGCCCGATGGGCTTCCTAGGTATGTGGGAGTTCCTGGATTCACCCCCGCCACCCACTTCCCATCCCACCATCCCTCTTCACCCCTTCTTCCTCTATTGTTGCAATGACAGAGGTTTGTACCACTTGCTATAGTGTTTACATACTTACTGTGGTGCTCATGGGACAGGTGGGGAAGGAGGAGGTGGTATATACTAATGCTCCCTCGCCTGCAGTGCTCTCTGGAAGTCCAGCACTTCTTCAGTGATGCTTGCATGCACACGCTGTTGCAGTGCCCAGTGATCTAGAACTGCTGGATTGTGCTTGTGGGAGGCAGCAGGGATCAAACTCAAGGCCTCCTACTTGCAAGGCAGGTGCTCAAGCCCCTTATCCATTTATTTATTTTTTAGTCTTTTCACTTTTACTTCTTTCTTTGGAGGGCTCACAGCTGTCAGGGGGTGGGAGGTCCTCGGCCCAAGACGGGTTGGTAATGGGGAGAAGAGTGGGGAGAGGGGCTCCTGCTACCCCCTCACACTGACTCGGTTGGTCCCACGCATCATCTTGGTGGAGTCAGTGTCAAATGCGAATGTAAGTCCTCCCCACACACTCAGGGAACTCTTTAGGCTTCCATTCCTGCAAAGAGGTTTAAAGCTTCACTGGCCACCAGCATTTTGCTTAGAAAACAAAAACAAAAACATGCTATAGGCCGAAGTGATAGTACAGCAGGTAAGGATGGTGCCTGGCACACTGTCAACCTGGATTCGGTCCTTGGCAGCCCATATGTTCCTCTAAGCCCCACCAGGAGTGATCCCTGAGCGGAGAGCCAGGCATAAACTCTGAGAACTGCCAGGTGTGGTCCCCTCTCCCCCCATGAAAAATTTTACATCTGCAGTCTCACTGGCCACGTTTTAATGGCTCTGTTGTCA